AGTGCACTCTAGGTGAGCAAGGTTTAGTTGACTACTACGTCAGTAGGTATACTCGTTTCCACAGATTGGTGATTTCGGTCTGAGTCGAGCGGAGGGCTCGAACTTCACCTTCGGTCTGATTTCTACGCGGTGGACGGCGCCGGAGGTGTTGGAGAGTGAGGCTAATTTCACACTGCGCTCGGATGTGTGGTCCTTCGGTGTGGTGATGTGGGAGATCTACAGTCTCGGCAGTCTGCCTTACAGTGACGTGCCGATTCGAGAGCTGCTGCCTTATCTCAGCAGTGGTCGACGTTTGATACCGCCAAGCAGTGCACCATCGAATATAGCCAAGCTCATGAGGATGTGTTGGGAGATGCCGGCTGAGTCGCGACCCACTTTCGTGAAACTTGACTTCTACTTGAATGGGCCGTCCAAGCGCTCTAAGTCTGGTGCCTATGACACAAGACCGCCTATATTGCCTATTAAACCGCAACTGTCATCTACTTCCTCTCCGATCAACTCTCCCAAAAAAGAATCCAAAGTTTTCACTTAATATTGTCTAATCCTGATGGGTTCAGAATTTCCATACCTTGTGAAAAAATGAAATGTTGCTGTAATATAACTACATTAACTTGCTTAGGGTTGTTTATTTTAGGGTTTTATTGGCGACTTTTTTGTGTTGTGTGAGTATAATTTGCTGTCATTGCACGTGCCAAAATGCTGCATAGCTCCAGCCTATTTTTTGGGTATTCTTGGCATTGAGACAAAGACCCTATTCCCATCAACCGAACCCTATCACCACACTCACCACTCACAATGCTGATCTTCTGACCACCACAACAAAGCTAACGCTCACTCGTTTGATTCGCTACTTCTTCACATTTCAGCTTTCTTTTCATACAGTTCATACACGAAATGAATGTCCTTTTCTAAGCCTAAAGGGCTAAGGGATAAATAGGCGTTTGAGATGGGGAGAAGGGACAAAGAGTAGCATCGACTTTTAAGGTTTGATGTCATTATATTCTCTTGTCTGTTGAAAATGTGGAACTCGAACATCTGTTGAGAATATCGAAAGGCCCTTTTGGTCTACTTAATCCCACCGGTAATATAGTAGTGTCCGTGCAGGGACAGGAGTTGAGAGATTTGAACAGCGGTTGTGGTTTGATGCTTCTGAGGCTATGGCGCGGATGAGGTCTTCAAATGCTTCTTAGCGGTTCTTCGACATTGTTTTGACCTTACATCATGAGTTCGGGTACTTTTGACATTCGTAATCAAAAAAGTACACCATTGCGCAACATTAGCCTTTCAAGGCTGATTTAAAAAATCAAAAGGTACTGGAATGATTCAACATTACCCATTTCTAAAGGCGTACTACAAATTAGTTAAAAGTTGTCGCAATTCTCAAATTCCACACCAGATAAATGCAAAAGAATTCAGAGGTACGTTTGAGAATTGTCTAAATTTTGTGAGCCTAAACACCAACGCTTTACAACTATAGGAGTTGATCGACGCACCCTTCATCAGCGACTCCTGCACCTCAGTGCCAAGGATGAGGTGATTTATAAAACCCACTTTTAATGACATTGGTATGTATGCCCTTTGTTATTTGTAATGTGTGCGTTCCACAGGTGGGAAAAAGGGTAGAAATACAAATTAGTGTAAATCTGGTAAGACTACAGATGCCTTCCTGCCAATTTCTGCGACGTGAACATGGCTTTTGATAAGCAGGAAAATGTCTATTCATTTACTCACAGATGCTCACTGCTCATTGGAATTACCTGAAGGTCTGTAAGAACCTTGAGTTTTGCAAGTGAATGAGCAGTCTATCAACTAACAGTTGGACGGACTCCAGTTTCAACGTAGAATCTGACACATTTTACAGCTCGCAGGGTGCTAATGCAGCGCATGGCTTGTTCAGAACAACTTATTCATAAAATAACAACGTAAATATTGCAAATGCCAACATCTTGTCCCTCAAGTGTTTGCAGCGACTATATCAATAGCTAAGCAAGATGCAGCCATCCACCAGTTTGTGCGACAACACAGAAGATGATAAGCAAATAGAAGGTTTAAACGTATGTGCTCATTTGTCTCCTTTTCTTTTCATCTGATTAGGCATAAGCGAAATTAGTTAGGGAAAGTTCTCAGTTAC